TTTTCTAAAGATGACGATAGTGAAGGCAGAAAGAAAAAAAAATATATATATATATATATATATATATATAGAATCATTAGTATCATTAGTAATATTTTTTGTACAGATCAGATTCGAAACGATGTACTTGAGACGATGAAGATGCAGACTTAGCATTGCTCAAAGACTAAAGAAATATATATATATATATATATATATATATAGAATTGTGCCAATCATTAGTAATATTTTTTGTACAGATCAGATTCGAAACGATGTACTTGAGACGATGAAGATGCAGACTTAGCATTGCTCACTATTATACAAGACTAAAGAAGGAAAAACGGCACGCCTTTTTCGTATCATTTAAAACTAATTGCGAATGACGCACTCGATGAATATGTAAGTAAATTGGCCAAGTTATCTGTGCAAAGATAACGCCGTAAATTTCGACTACTCAAAACTGTGTTAACAGGCACACGATACTGTGAGCTCATTATATCGTGTAATCGCGCACTATAAGAAATTAATCTTTGTGCATTAAATCATTAGATGCTAAATTGCAACTGTACATAAATAGGTTTATATATATCTAAACGATCGTGTAGCACACAGTTTAGACACAATAATCACAGTAAAATGTAACAGTGTCACAAATTCTCTTACAATAATTTTTGATACAGATTATTTTATACAACTTTGGATAATCCTGCTGGGATTATTGTATAAGAAACATTTTTGTACCTCAGACTATGCACAGAATCTATGGTCAAGACTTACTAATCAGAAAATATCTTTAAACAACTCTTTAAGCGATATAATTAGTAGACATTGCAGTTGTATAGTCATTATTAGAATTTCAAATCAAAAGAGCTTATTAGAAGATTTAACTAAGCATTTAATTTCCGTTAATAATAATTTTATTATCGATATCCGCTCTCATGAATTTTGTTCGATATTTTGCAGATACATGTGTTCGTTTGACATATTAACGGGAAACTAGCGTAATGGACTCGTATTTATCTTTTTTACGAAGAATCTGTTCGATATAAAGTTTTAATCACGAGCGGATTTTTATATATGATTGTAATCATATTTTAAATATGCATTTTTACATTTTAATACAATTAGATAATTCTCATCGAATTTTTTAAGTTTACTGCATAGATGTAATTATTCTGGAATAGAGAGAGAGATATTTCTCTTACATGCGTGTTTCCCGATATTATAATAACAAGTCCATAAGCAGCTCGCATGCTTGAATCAACATTTTAAAATTTAAGCATTTTTCTTTCTTTTTTTTTGTGTATCTGCTATTTATTTTATACTTTTAAACGCAATGCAATGGTACTTTTGCATTTTGGTTTCTTGGAAGAGGCTTAAACAATCCACTGTGGTATGAAATGAGAGATCTTTTACGCGCGAATCGCCTTTTTATCACATAACCGTAAGATATTGAACGAGCATAAAAAAAAACTCCGGAAACCTTCCTTTCGCCAATTCCTTAGGCAAATAATTTTTGTAAAACTTATACAATAGCAATAGTCAATTTTCGGCTACGACGAATCATGTTTCGTGTAAAAGTTCTCGCATCGTTCGTAACATATTGCTTATGATATTATTTTAAGAAATGTCTACTTTACGCAAATCATACGTTCTTTACATAGTTGAAGCGATTTTAGGAACGTCTTTTTCGATTCATACCACAGCACACTCTATAGAGTGGTATGTAGGTAATATGAGGACGAAGACAAAAGAAATGGACACTGCCAAACGTCTAAGTTATATTTAATAAATGACGTCGAACAACGTTGCGCGCTATGATATAATAATTAAATGACACATTTTTATTCGCGTTTATATATATTGTCGCCCACATTATTCCATACACGCGAATGCGAGTGAACGGCTCGAGCGCGAGATTTCGCGATGACACGTTGCTCGATCAAGTTTCGACGAATCGTACGTGTATGCGCGTTTGATAATTCTTACGAAAGTGTGAAGTGTAGTATAAA